CGATGCCGTATGAGGTGCGTGTCACCCGCTGCGCCAGAATCTTCGTGCTGGCAAATTGAGAATAAACTAGTAAGTTAATCTTCTTTTATGTCTCAAAAAAGTTAATCTTTTTTAATCAAAATTAGTAGCACTTTGTTATGTGGGGCTAGACCTACATGACACGGCTGAAACTTAAGAGGATAAGTATCCGTGGTGATGCTAGAAAGTCCGGGCAAGGGAGGGCATTGCCCACCCCGCCCATTTTTCCTTGTTCTAATAATTATAGTGAGTATTTAGGCACATATATCGCATGATTATTTGGACAACTTTACTAATGATTCTATAGGTCCATCAATTTAAATAGCATTATGGCAAAAAAAAAACAAGTGAATGGACTTGGCTGACCATTCTTCTGCGATGACAAAATTAGGGATTTAGGTGTTTTGGAAATGAGAATAGACAGCTGATTCCAATCAAAATAGCAAAGGCCCCATCGAACTAATTGATCAACCTAAAGGATCAAATGTTAATACATTGAAAGTGCATCGCTCTCTTAAAAACATAGGACTAGGAATTGGATGTCGTAGCATATTGAACCCTACAAGAATTAAAGAAACCAGAGATGCATGTTTTCTTATATATTATGCACATGCCATAGTTCTTGTTGAAACAAATAAAAATTCCATTGTGAAATTTTGCATGAGGTTGGACTGAATAGATTTTTTCCTTTAAAATTGTTTATGGTTTGCAATTCTCCACTCCAAGCAAGCTACGCATGAAAAATTCCTAAGAAATAGAATCATCCAAAATTCAGATGATATATTATGAATCAAAATTACTAAGAAATAGAATCCTCCAAAATTCCGATGATATATTATGAATCAAAGAGTTCCTTACCTAGGATTATGCAAAACTGAAAATGAATTATGAAAAAGTTCACGGTTTCGTGTATATGCTCACGCATCACACCCCAACTGAGCGCATGTGGTTGCTTACGTTTATACATTTCTTGTTGCATCGCATCTTGTTTGAATCATAGAGGAACATGGCGCAAAACCGGATACTTACAACTTTAAGGGTTATGTTTGGGTCATACATATATAAAGGTCGTCATCATTTGCCATACGTTTTTGTCACACATGCCTAAGCTTAGGCGATCAAATGAACGCCACACTTGAGGCAATCTTGTCACATTCTCTAAATCAATGACATGTGGGGTCTACACCTTCCGTTTCCTAAATATAAGTTTTTTTAGACATTTCAAATGGACTACAACATATGGATATATAAATATATTTTAGAGTATAGATTTGCTTCGTATGTAGTCACTGGTTGGAATCTCTAAAAAGATTTATATTTAAAAGTGAAAGGAGTAGTGTGCATTAAAGAGAAAGGGATAAGTATATTTTTCGTCCTTGAACTCTTCCAAGAGTTTAGAAATCGTCCCTCAACTCAAAACTGGATAATTTTGGTCCCTCAACTATCAAAACCGGATAGTTTTCGTCCCTCGTGCCGCGGTGAATAGTAACTCGGTGAACAGTAAAATCAAAAAAATTGCAAAAAAGTCAAAACGATCTAAAAAAATTACAGCATCAAAGATACTCTGGTGCGCAAGACCCATGCAAAATTTCGTGGTGTTTCGACATGCGAGCAGCTCGTGGCAAACAAAAAACTGTAAATATATACGTCGGTGAACAGTAAATTCAAAAAAATAGCAAACGAAATCAAAACAACATGAATTTTTTTGGCATCAAAGAGGCTTGGGTGTTCAACGTGCGTGCAAATTTTCGTGGTGTTTGGGCATTGTACGAACTCGTGGAAAAAAACAAAATTTGGCTCAAATTATTTTTTTTGAAAAAGTGCACTATTTTGTTTTTTGGCTAGAGCTCCTCGTATGTCATTTGATCACGAAATTTTGCACGCATCTTACGTACATGAGCATCTTTGATGCCAAAAAAATTCATAATTTTTTTTATTTTTTTGCTATTTTTTTGAATTTACTGTTCAGCGACGTACATATTTACAGTTTTTTGTTTGTCACGAGCTGCTCGAATGTTGAAACACCACGAAATTTTGCACGGGTCTTGCGCACTAGAGTATCTTCGATGCTGTAAATTTTCAGATTTTTCTGAATTTTTTTGCTATTTTTTTGATTTTACTGTTTACCGAGTCACTATTCACCACGTACTAAAACCGCCCGAAGCGGCACGAGGGACCAAAACTATCCGGTTTTGATAGTTGAGAGACGAAAACTATCCGGTTTTGAATTGAGGGACGATTTCTAAACTCTCGGAAAAGTTTGAGGATGAAAAATATATTTATCCCTTAAAGAAATGATGCCACGAGTGTGACCGCAAACCAAACAACGAAACTTGTCTAACTCGCGACGTGACAAAGTGTGGCAAGCTTAGCATGCCAACCAAACAGCCCTTAGGCCTTGGCATTACACGTCGCGTCGATAAGTTTCAGTCGCCATGATCGTTGACAATTACGGATCAGTACTATGAGATGTTCGGTGGCCCGGCGGCTGCGGGGGGATAACGAAGAAGACCAGCGGTGGGCATGTATGTTCGCCGGCTTAGTCGTTAAGCTGTCGTGTGCTCATTTGTTAGCATGACCAGTACACACGAACAAGATACTGTAGCAGTGTAGCACACCAGTGTGGATGTTCCAGACAGGAGCACAAAGCCACTACAGGGAAATGGATGGTACTGTGCGTGCACTTGATCAGTATTGATTAACACCACGGAGCATTCATCAATTCCGGCCGCCGTTATCGTTGGCATTATGACGCTGTTACACGATCCAGCGTCTCCATCAAGATCCATTGCGTACTGGGTGATAGCGTGCATGTTGACGAGGTCTTGTAGTACGTCTACAACATTTGGACTTAAAATATAGTCGGCGTGGTTACTAGTGCTGCTCATCTAGAACCTTCATTAATCCATGAATTACCTGTTTTAAAACAGTTAGTTAAGGAATCTAAAAAAAACAGTTAGTTAAGCTCGAAGAAGAGACGGCCCGTATTACCACTTTCTAACTATGATTCTCACACTCCCTTCTAACTCTGTACTTCCTATGTAAACTAATATAAGAGTGTTTAGATTACTAAATTAATGATCTAAACGCTTTTATATTAGTTTATGGAGGGAGTACTAAACAAATCACGTGACACATGTAATAAGCAATTTAAACTATTCAAAATAAAATAAAATAAACGTTGGACTAAACCAACCGGAGGGAGTATACCGTCCGAAAAAGTTTGGCCCTCGAATGGATGTACTGTATCTAGTATCAAGTTAGTGTTAGATACATCCATTTGAAGGACAAGTTTGAGACAAGCTTTTTCGGATGAATGGAGTAGATTTTTACTAATTCAAAATTTGCTCTATATGGACGGTGCGGATCACATGAATGGTGTTACCAGATTTCTTTGGATTGTTTCTTCATGCCTTCAAGAGCACATAATTTACAACATCCACAACTTCTTGCCTAAGAGGGATTGAATCATAATTCCAGCTTTTTCCATGTGTTATATCCAAATAGACTTTTGGATAATATTCACATTTTCTGGTTCTTTTGTGCTTGTACTTTTTTTTCAAATCTGAGTATCTTTTCCTCTTTGTATTTTTATTTAGTTCTATGATTCAAACATGCTATGGATAATACAGAAATTGAAATGGATCTGGTGAAATCCCTGGATGCCATTCAAACTTCTAGTGTTCCAAACAAGAGGAGAACAAAATGGTGAAACTTGGACACTTTCATATTTCAAGAAGACTAGAAGGTATGGGCATCTCCAAGAATCGTTAAAATGCCATCAAATATCCAAACCGAGCCGTCCGGGCACTTTCAGGCCTTCAACGTGGATCATCAAAATCGGGTCAGAACAGTCCAGGCTTACGG